GTATAGCGTAGCATAGTAATAGTAGTAGTCAGTATTAGTAGCAGTAGTAATAGTAGTAGTCAGTATTAGTAGCAGTAGTAATAGTAGTAGTCAGTATTAGTAGCAGTAGTAATAGTAGTAGTCAGTATTAGTAGCAGTAGTAATAGTAGTAGTCAGTATTAGTAGCAGTAGTAATAGTAGTAGTCAGTATTAGTAGCAGTAGTAATAGTAGTACCTGGCTAGTATCCTGGTAAGAGTCTTTAGTGACCAGGCAGTTTGGAGTTGAAGGACCTCTTTTATATACACACTCTCTGCGGCCCCTCCCTGTATAGCATCTCCCGTGACAACAAGGCTTCTAGAATCAAAATACAGCATGTCGGTCTGGACACACCTACTGCCTTCTCCATCTTCCCCTAACATACTAAACATACTGCTTTCAGAACCTGAGAGAGAGAGAGAGAGAGAGAAAGGGAGGAACCCCCCTCCCTCTGTTATTTCTTGGTTGTTGTGCAACAGAGGAGGAACAGATTCCAGAGCAGAGTCACAGCTCTGTTGTAAAACTTACTGGCAACACTGACTCTCTCCATCCCTCTCTCTCTCCATCCCTCTCCTTGTTATCAAAACCATGTGTGTGTGTGTGTACGCACATGCTAAGGTCTAGGAGGGACAGAAGGGACACAGGGGAGAACAGGAGGGGTAAAAGATAGAGAAAATAACTACAGCTAGTCAGACAGAGGCAGACAGGCAGACAGAGAGAGAGAGAGAGACAGACAGACAGACAGACAGACAGACAGACAGACAGACAGACAGACAGACAGACAGACAGACAGACAGACAGAGAGAGAGACAGACAGACAGACAGACAGCTAGACAGACATAGAGGCAGACAGGTAGACAGAGAGAGAGAGAGAGAGATAGACAGACAGCTAGACAGACAGACAGACAGACAGACAGACAGACAGACAGACAGACAGACAGCTAGTCAGACATAGAAGCAGACAGAGAGAGAGACAGACAGACAGACAGACAGACAGACAGACAGACAGACAGACAGACAGACAGACAGACAGACATAGAGGCAGACAGACAGACAGACAGACAGACAGACAGACAGCTAGTCAGACATAGAAGCAGACAGAGAGACAGACAGACAGACAGACAGACAGACAGACAGACAGACAGACAGACAGACAGAGAGAGACAGACAGACAGACAGACAGACAGACAGACAGACAGACAGACAGACAGACAGACAGACAGACAGACAGACAGACAGACAGACAGACAGACAGACAGAGAGAGGAGAGAGAGACAGACAGACAGACAGACAGACAGCTAGACAGACATAGAGGCAGACAGGTAGACAGAGAGAGAGAGAGAGAGATAGACAGACAGCTAGACAGACAGACAGACAGACAGACATAGAGGCAGACAGACAGACAGGACAGACAGACAGACAGACAGACAGACAGACAGACAGACAGACAGACAGACAGACAGACAGACAGCTAGTCAGACATAGAGGCAGACAGGCATACAGAGACAGATGGACAGACAGACAGAGATAGACAGACAGACAGCTAGTCAGACAGAGAGAGAGAGCGATAGACAGAAAGACAGCTAGTCACAGAGAGGCAGACAGGCAGACAGAGAGAGAGAGATAGACAGACAGACAGCTAGTCAGACAGAGAGAGAGAGCGATAGACAGACAGACAGCTAGTCACAGAGAGGCAGACAGGCAGACAGAGAGAGAGAGATAGACAGACAGACAGCTAGTCAGACAGAGAGAGAGAGCGATAGACAGACAGACAGCTAGTCACAGAGAGGCAGACAGGCAGACAGAGAGAGAGAGATAGACAGACAGACAGCTAGTCACAGAGAGGCAGACAGGCAGACAGAGAGAGAGAGATAGACAGACAGACAGCTAGTCACAGAGAGGCAGACAGGCAGACAGAGAGAGAGAGAGTGAGTGTGAGGAGGAGAGCTTGGTAGGGTGTGGGGATAAAAGAGACATGGAAATTAGAATTGAAAGGCTGAATGGAGTTGTGGAGAGAGAGGAAGGACAAGACGGAAGGAGAGAGAGAAGACAAGAGAGAGAAAGAGAGAGAGCGAGAGAGAATATATATATTTTTTAAATCTAACATTGATAAGTTTCCGTATCTGTTAGGTGAAATACTGCAGTGTGCAATCATCGCAGCAAAATGTGTGACATGTTGCGATAAGAAAAGGGCAACCAGTGGAGCACAAACACCAAAGTAAATAAAACCTACACTGACTAAATAAAAATATAAACGCAACATGCAACAATTTCAAAGATTTTACTGAGTTACAGTTCATATAAGGAAATCAGTCAATTGAAATAAATTCAATAGGCCCTAATCTATGGATTTCACATGACTGGGAATACAGGTATGCATCTGTTCGTCACAGATACCTTTTTTAAACAAGGTAGGGGCGTGGATCAGAAAACCAGTCAGTATCTGGTGTGACCATTTGCCTCATGCAGCGCGACACATCTCCTTCGCATAGAGTTGATCCGGCTGTTGATTGTGGAATGTTTTCCCACTCCTATTCAATGGCTGTGCGAAGTTGCTGTATATTGGTGGGAACTGGAACACGCTGTCATATACATAAATCCAGAGCATCCCAAACATGCTCAATGGGTTACATGTCTGGTGAGTGTGCAGGCCATGGAAGAACTGGGACATTTTCAGCTTCCAGGAATTGTGTACAGATCCTTGTGACATGGGGCCGTGTATTTTTTTTATTTTTTTTTAGTCATTTAGCAGACGCTCTTATCCAGAGCGACTTACAGTTAGTGAGTGCATACATTTTTCATACTGGCCCCCCATGGGAATCGAACCCACAACCCTGGCGTTGCAAGCGCCATGCTCTACCAACTGAGCTACAGGAGGGTGCATTATCATGCTGAAACATGAGGTGATGGAGGAGGATGAATGGCAACACAATGGGTCTCAGGATCTCATCACGATATCTCTGTGCATTCAAATTGCCATCAATAAAATTCAACTTAGTTTGTTGTCCGTAGCTTATGCCTGACCATACCATAACCCCACCCCCACCATGGGGCACTCTGTTCATGACGTTGACATCAGCAAACCACTCACCCACACGACTCCATACATGTGGTGTGCGGTTATGAGGCTGGTTGGACATAATGCCAAATTCTCTAAAACGATGTTGGAGGCAGTTTATGGTAGAGAAATTAACATTCAATTATCTGGCAACAGCTCTGGTGGACATTCCTGCAGTCAGCATGCCAATTGCACGCTCCCTCAAAACTTGAGACATCTGTGGCATTGTGTTGTGTGACAAAACTGCACATTTTAGAGTGACCTTTTATCGTCCCCAGCACAAGGTGCACCTGTGTAATGATCACGCTGTTTAGTCAGCTTCTTTATATACCACACCTGTCAGGTGGATGGATTATCTTGGCAAAGGAGAAATGTTCAATAACAGGGATGTGAACACATTTGTGCACAACATTTGAGAGAAATACGCTTTTTGGGCGTTTGGAACATTCCTGGGATTCTGGACTGCCTCTAGAAGCACAGACAAACACACACCAAAATAAATCCATAAACACCCACGTATGTGTATGCGACCAATAACATTTGATGTATTCACAACCACACAAACACACCATAAAGACTCAGAACTAGTTATAATGTCACGATCGTCGTATGGAGTAGACCAATGCGCAGCGTTAGTTGTGAACATACTTTACTTTATTTAATGAATGCACGAACAAAACAATAAACAATAC